CATGGCTCTGAGGTTTCCTCCTCGTGTGGCCTTTCGGATGAAGAAATTACTCGTCACGAACCCCAAGGCTGCCCTAACATTCACAGCAGCATGCTGGTCCTATCTTCAAATACTTTTCCACGAGCGACAGTTTTTCTCCTAAAAACCATAAACTACATTTCATCTTGTGAATTCTGAGCCATGCCTTAGGATTTTTTAACTGTCTACTCTTCTCGCTCAGTTATACTGGTGGCTCGTGTAAACTGACATCACCACATGTGAGTGTATTACTTGGAACAAGCGAGTAGTCGCCTAAAATTGTGCAAACGACTTCTTTGAAATGTTCGGCTGTGCCGGTGCCTTTCTTAAATACTATGTACCGATAGGGAGCTCAAAGGCGTTTGCCTATATTTCCTTTAATAAACTTGACTTGAATTGGCTATATTACGACTAAGTTAAAAACTAGTAATAAATTACGGCTGATAGCAATAATATTTCAACACTAATGGTGATATTACTAGTTAGCATATTTAATAATACCAGTACATAATAGATGGTAATACAAATAAAGTAATACAGATGATCAGCGTCGTCATCTATGTAAAAGTTTATATAAAATTTGATAAGTTTAAGGATAATAAGTGTAATAGTCTTAAGTGTATATAAAACCTAATTTAGAGATATCAGTTAGCGCTTCACGAGTTTTTTTAAAGTCAGCAGTCGTCCCAGATAGGAGTAGTAAGTTCCCTTTCCTATAACGTATTTTCCTCTCTGCGAGGAACCATTTTAAACACGGAATTATTTAAATCTATATTTGTGAAATTTGGTTTGAAAATGTGGCTCTGCAGGAACTGTGATTCATTCTTAAGTGAACATCAAACACCCTCATTTTGCAGTTGTCAGAGAACCGTCCTTAATACAACCTTTAAAGCGAGCTGAAAGCGTTTACTGGAAAAAAAAGTGTTTTACCTAAGAGGAATTAATTCCAAATTTTTTTAAGTTAAATGGAATTTTGAGAAAGTTCCTCTCATTGCAATTACACATTATAGTTTCATCACACCAGTAGTCCATACCATTTATGGAATACATGCGATGTCTTCGACACAAACCATTCTGCTCACTGAAAAACTAGGTGGTTGAGGGAACTACTAGCGGAGATCTGGGATCGCTGTTACATGAAGATGTACCTCTGCGGTTTTCACCGAAGAAGAAGAAGAAGAAGAAGAAGAAGAAGAAGAA